CCCCCCCCCCCCCCCCCCCCCCCCCCACAAAAAAACCATGATCTTTAAACGGTAGGCTACGAGAAACAGTGTAAGCTGACACCATCTCCTGAAGACAGTGGGATATTTTACTATACCGATTTAAAGCTTTAACGGCACAACCCGACCAACAGATGCAGAAGTGAAAATAACCAGTGATTGTTGTTCTATTGAACTGTGCCTATATAGATGTAACCTTGAGTAAAAACTAGTTTATGGATCTATTTATATCTTTATTCATGTTTATACTTCCTCAATATATTTATAATAAGGTAAATTATAAAGGGACTTCTTTACAGGTTCATTCGTTCGCTACATTTTTGACTGGCCAAGTTCTATCAGTTTCGGGTATATTCAATGGGTTTTTTTGATCATAAATCATGTGAGACCAAGGCTGATATGTGGAGGGAAAATAATTTCAAATAAAAAGCTTGTTTTAACACTCGATGATTGGTAAGAATTTTTGGTTTTCCTAATTAGTAGTCGTATGATAGCCTACAAATTTGTTTACACTGCATTTTAACTTGCTGTTCTCTCACCATTGAATGACTGAATCGTCTTGATTCCATTCAAGTTAAAATGAGTAAAATATCAAAATAAATCAAATACCAAATGCAAAATGCATATATTTGAATGGAATTTGTCAATAATAGTTATTATCTAATAGAATGGTTGATATTATCAGAACCAAGAATCGATGGTTAGGCTTTAGTTGGTTGTTAAAAGTCGACATCGATTCTTGGTACCAGTACTGAAAATAATAATATACTTCCTTAGCCATATTTTAGCTATATATTAATAGGCTAGTTTTATAATAAATAGACCATACACTATATGCTATGTAAAACTATGTATTGTCGAAGTGATTGTGTTCCAAAACAATTTAGAACATTATATTCAGATGTTTTGTTAGTCCCTAGATAAGCTATGCATAAAATAAGTTACACATTCTTTGTAGAAATATTTTAACCATGCATTGATAACTATTGGCAAAAACTTTTAAAATTAAAATTTCCCCTCCATTTACCTTCCTTTTGAATATCTATAAATGTGTACACACGATACACTCCGTTGAATTTGAATTGAACACAAGTGTATGATTATACATAATATAGCACTGTTACAGTGGCGGAGCCAAATAAGATCCATTGTTATATGATGTTACCTACAAACCTTTGATGTTACCGTACATACTTGTAAATGTTGCAAGTAGATACATGACGTATTTAGTCCTGACTCGTGATTTTACCTACAAACGTTATGTTACTGCACATGCATGAGAATGTTCAAAGTAGATACAATGACGTAATTGGTAGTAAAAGTCCTGTTTTTTTGGTGTCACCTACAAACCTATGATGTTACCGCACATACATGTGAATACAAGTAAATACATGACCTTATAAATCCTGACATATGATGTTACCTACAAACCTTCGACAATTATGTGACCCCCACTCGGCCCCTCCGCCAATGCTCTATAGTTGTCAGTGGCATTTTATAACGTATAGGATTTTTTAAATAAACAAATTGTTATAATATATTAATTCGCTTTTTTCAGGATCTGAATTAATAGTTATTATAAGGAAGGGATATGCAAGCTATACTATTCAATTTTTATCGTGTCTCGCTTCATTAAGCAGTGAAGTCCTTGTTTTGGAACGGTTGTTAGTAACCAAGAAACGATCTCTTTGAAATAGAGTTATTATTCAGAAAAACATAGGCCTAAATTTACAGAGCCCTAATGAGTTATCAATTGACAATAAATATATGCTGCTCTATAGTGAAGTAACATTAATCTCCGGAAATGCAGATGTCATGATATCTGTCGTGATAACGGAAGTCGATAGGAAATGTGTGAAGATTGATTAGTATATAATCCTTCCTCCTTCAACCAGGACATAAATTATTCTTAAAACAATGGCCGCAGTTGGCAACCCACAGACAATAGTTGACAGACCGACGATTACAGGAATTATGGCAACCAACGACGATAATGAAGATGAATATGTCAAACTTTGGCCAGGTAAGTTTCTGTGCTTCTTTCCCATTTAGCATCCCATTCATATTTTGGCGTATATTGTGGGAGAGCGAGGTATATTATCACTGTAAAAAAAAATTCCTTCGATTAACAGAAAAAATTCCGGCAGCTGATTTACCAGAATTTAAATTTTGCCTTCAGTTATATAACAGAATTTCTTGTAAAATATTTGCTTTAAATAACAGAAATATTTTACGACAAAATCTGTTAAATTACAGAATGACTAATAATATTTCCTGTAATTAACAGAAAATGGGAAGGATATTCTGGTAAATCTGCTGCCGGAATTTTTCTAATATTTCCTGTAATTTAACAGAAAAATAGGAAGAATATTCTGGTAAATCTGCTGCCGGAATTTTTCCTTCCAGTTCTGTAAAAAAACAGAATTTTAAAAAGGATATTCTGGTAATAAATCTGTTGCCAGAAATCGTTTTCATTTTACTGTAAAATAACAAAACATTTCAACTTTATGTGTTTATTGGTATTATTTGTGCATTTAAAATAATCAGAGAAAATGATGTTTACTACACCTTTAATTATACATACAACTGAAAATGTGGGCGTATAAAAACAATCTCTTGCATAAAAACAAATGATGAACTTGAAATACATACTCATCACTAATGACATCTTTAACACATCTTTCAATGACATTCTCATAACTAATGACATCTTCATAACGTTCTGATTTAACTAATTCGGATTTAACTAATGTCTTTTTTTATTTATGTTGACACTCTTTTCTCCACATTGCCCATATTTTATTAATATTGACAGAACCTGTGGTCCAGTAATGCTACTACTTCACTTTTTTTAGTGTTCCACATGGTTATAGGACTCCATCATCCAGCGCAATACTGTTTATGATGCAACTCTAATCATTATTATAAGGCCTAATTGTTTTTGATGTGCACAGTTAATTGTTGCTCGTTCAAAAGTCAGGTCAAGTCTCATAATGCTCCGTAACTTTTAGCTGGTAAATAATGGCAGAAACTCTAAAGAAAGGGAAAAGGTGACATACCTGAAAAGATAAATTTAAAATGAGAAAATATTTGTTGTGCTAACGTACTGTAGTAGTGTAGTAATAGTAGGGCACTGGATCTTTTAGTTCGAGAAATCCAGTGTCCAATTTGCCCTCGTTTACGAATTTTGTAATGCCTCGCCCACGTGGTGGGTCCTAACATTGAGTGTAAACGGTTAAGGTTTATTGACAAGAATATTAATGACAAAATTCTCATTCCTTTTATTCTGGTGCAATCATAACCATAAAAGGCTGAAAAAGCGAGGATGTACAAAAACAGAAAAAGAAATTATAAATTAAAAATAATAAAATAGTAAAGGCATAAGAAAGTAGATGGAACTTAAGAGCATGATGCAATGACACACTTATGTATAGCAGTCATGGGTGGCCGTACAAAATAATTTCTTAACAGCAGGTTGCACAGTTTGACATCAATAAGACATTGCAAATGTTATTAATAGTAGGTACAAACATTTTATATAGTGTCACATGTACAAAGTTGGTGGGAAAACTGACTTGAGGGATCTATGCATAATTTGGCGCCACTTTGTCGGGTTTGTTTACATTTTTTTTTTGTTTAAACAATATTTATTGATAATTTACAAAATCATACATATGCTATAGATTAATGTTGGTTTCAGAAACAAGCCGAAGCTTATATAAATCTGTTACCAATACGAATATTTACAGATGATAAAAGTATAACTTACATAATGTAGGAGTTGACAGCAGCGAAATGTACATTGGAAACAAAACAGGAAGTGACAAACATATTTACAAAAGGAAAGGGAATAGGGCCGAACAAATTCATTGGTGAATAAAATGTTATTGATAATGACAAATGAAAATAGTTGAGAGGGGATGAGGGTGTTTATCGTTAATCAAAATAAAATAATCTTCGTTTTAAAACGGAGGCCATACGTCGACAGCGTTAGCTAGGTGTCAAAACGTTTTGTAGATGATATAAAGTTATGAACAGTTTGAAAGATATACAGATTTGTTTCTAAAGATAATTTTGGATTGCCGTTAAGAAGTGTTAATATGCAACGTAAATGAATAGGGAGAAGATTAATTGTATTGTTTCGTTGTTTTGAAAAGTTGCGACAGTAGAGAAGAAAGTGTTCAGAATTTTCAAAGGTGTGGCCGCATGAACAGGATGGAATGTCGGATATGTGCATTAAGAATTTGTGAGCGTTTAGTTGACTTTTATAATGACGTAGTTTGGTATGTATTATTTGTGATGGACGGTCGCCAGAGTAGAAATATAATGGTACAGAGGATTTTGAGGTAAATTTTACAAGCAGGGATTTAAGCTGAGAGAGGGGAGAGGGAAGAAGAATTACGTAGAGTCGGGCAGATTGTTCCAGATTTGTACAGTAGATGGGAGAAAAGATGATTTGTAAGCTACAGTGTTCCATGGAATAGTGCGAAAAATTGTGCTTGCTTCTGATGGGGTAAGGGTTTACAATCGAAATATGAGGTGGTACCAGAATTCTCAGATATTGAGGTGTTAAACCATTAATCATTTTATAAAATAGAGTTACTTTGTGACAAAAGCGACGATCGGTTAAACTTGAGAAGCCGGACTCTTTGTATAAAACTGAGTGGGAAGTTCCCCGAACAAGACCTGTTATAGTGCGAATTGCGTCCAAATTGATATTTACATGTTTACATTTTGGTAAATGTTTTCAGACAGCATGAACAAATATAAAATTGCAATAGAAATTATGGATCCTGTGATATTTCATATCGTTGGAGGTTTTCTTATGTAATCGGGTATAAACTTACATTGCGGTTGGCTAAACCTGAAGAATTAGAGAAATGAATTTGAGGACTTCATTGCCATAAAAAAAATTATTAATTTTTCTACTCTCTTAGACAGAAGAGTTCTAAACAGAAAGATGACTCTTGACAAGACTGATCTAAGTTTCAGACCACAAATACCACACATCTATAAAGTGATAAAATGGTAACATTACAAATTTATTTAGGCAATAATTAAAATACACTCACCTGTGAATTTGTATTCAGTGATCATTTCCACTCTACCCAAGACCAAGTAAGCTAAGCCTAGTCTAGTTCATCATGTAGGATAAATTTAAGTCATTTTGTCGTTGTCCCCACACGCTTAAAATTCAGTAAAACATTTTGCAGTTCTTGACAAAGGGTGATAATAGTGATACACAAAGACACAAGCCATAAAGGTCATCTCCTCTAATTCATTTTTAATTTAGATATCTTGAGATTATATTATCCTCATTGTGCTTCAAATATTGAAAAGGACTTCCTCACCTTCCATGAGACCCCTTTTTACTTTTTACGTTCTGGCATGAAAATTATTCTTTTCAATCCCGGATATTACAAGCAAATGATATTTAGGTCTGGGCGCAACCAATGCTGTCATTGGGTATACAATATTATAAGAAAGTGTTTGTGCCAATATTACAGCAGGACAGCAGCAAGTGGAGCCACCACCTAGACAAGAAGTTCAGGGAAATTTCAATATTGTTACTACCCAGACGCTGCGTTCAAACAAAGGTAATGATGAGTTTTTCTTTACCTAAATTTTATCATGAAGTTGGTCTGTAAGTGAATGTCACGCTACCTATTGACAGTTATATTTTAGTCTTTTAAAGTCACTTAAGGAAAATATAAGGAAATTGTAACAGGAACCGTTTTGTAAAACTATAGAAAATATCTTTGCGTAGAGCCTGTCAGCTCCTTTTGTATTTAGTTAAATATCTTCGATTCTTGCAAACTTAAAAATTTCTTCGAATTACTTCATTTTAGAGAAAAATTGTGAATATTCTGAAATCAACAAAGGTGCACGGAAATGTAAAGGTAAATAGCCTTAAATATTTTAGAATTAAGTTTTATAATAAATTAAATAACGGTGGTAAACATGGTCCCGCCTTTTAAACTAATTGTTTACATTAGCTTTTGGAAAACTATATATCTCCTATACGTATTCCAAACGTTTCAACTGATAATATTTAGTCATTATAAAGACAAACACAAGTTCAAACTGCTTAATCAACAATTGGTACTCCCCGTTTTTTATTAAATCTTTTAAAACAAGTTCAGTTTGACCAAGCTGATGCATAGATATAAATAGCATACCATTTTGTCAAAAAAGCGGAATGCCTCTTCAAGTAGGCTAAGTAAATTGATGATTGCAAATTCTGAAAATTTACTATTGACGAGTCTTACATCAGAAACTCCTTAATTAAAAACTCAGTCAAACAACTGATATCTGCGTATCGTCGCGGTAGTTTTGATGGGTTTTCGTTCTGTTTGTAGGCAGATAGTTGTTTATGGATTTTTCTAGCAAATATTCTCTAATCCATTTAAACCTATATTTAGGGAAATGGTATAAATTCGAATCATTTCCAAATAATACCATTGCTGCTACAAATCCACGAATTCCATTTAATTTTATTGCAGAGTCTGTATCTACACAAAGTCAACAAAAATATAAGACACTGTTTGGACCACGAAAATTGATTTATGCCAACGACTCGGTTATAGACTTCAATGTTTTTTTGCTGGAAACAGAAAATAACAAGGTGATGTTTCATTTAAATAACATTGAATTACGCACATTATTATTATTTCATAACATAAAATATAACAACTATATTAAAGGAGTATCAACATTATAAATGATTAAAAATTCCCACAAACTTTAGCACACCAAGCGATAGCTTATAAACCAACACCAAATTTGGAACGTCGTATGCAAATATCCATATTTTATGTTTTTCCCACCAGGTTCGAGGTATAGTACAGTTATCAACCTTGAATAAAACTATCACATCAAAAGTTCGTACCCGCGTAGTTTGTCTGTTCGACGTCAGTGGAAGCATGCTCTTGAAATGTGGACGAAGCAGACAGGAGTCCAAGATTACGAAGTTGAAGAAAACTGCATTTGAGCTAGTAAACTCTCTGAATGAATCGGATGAAGATTATTTTGGTTTGGTGACGTTTGGTGATGAATCTAAAATCATCGTGCCGTTGACAAAAGTAGATGCAGAATCGAAGGTAATATAACTTGATAACAATAATTGGCGATCACGTCACTTTAATTGCCAAATGATTGGCTTCGGGTAAATTCATACTAATGTTTATAAGTATTTTTTTTTAATATTTTACAGATGTCAATGAATATGTTTATTGAAAAAATGGATCAGAAGTATTCGTATAAAACAGATCTGTCAGCGGGTCTGAAAACTGCCATTAATATGTTACACGAAACACATCCTGGCACAAGGTGAGTAGGTCTTCGGCCCAAAAAATTTTCTTGTGATGACTATATCAGGCGTTAAAAAAATGTCCTAAATTAGACACGTAGACCATCTTGGCATAGTTAAAGAGTGGTTTAATTCAGTGGAATTGCTTGAAAAAATACTTATATATTTCAGATCTATGTATAGAAACGTTATTATGGTGTTCTCAGATGGCGAAATCAATAAAGGCACTGTCGAACCAGACATTTTGGTGGGTGAGGTACGTGAACAAATCCGAAGTGTCAAACCGGAACTAGAAGTTCAATCCGACCAATGGGTGAATATCGCATGTATTACAACCGGGGGTAATGTGTCCGAAGCTATGTACATGTTGTCCAAATTTTGTGGCAATGACGCGTACTACTATATTGACTCAAAAGTTAAGAATCCAGAAATTAATATGATGATTCCATTCATGTTGAGAAAATACTCGGTCGCCCAGTCCGTTACTGTGAACATTGTACCAGCTGAAGGTGTCGAGATTAACAAAAGAGAGTGTAGTCAAGAACATAGTGTGCGTCGAAAAAGACAGTCGTTTGTGGATCAGACGATGTCGTATTATTTACATGATTTCCCTTCTGAGATCCAAAAACATTTTTCAGTCACATTTGACGTGGATTCTAACGACATTGGAAATTCTGATCATTTTCTGAAGATTGAATTGGAATACATTGATAATGATGGTAATATTCGATCCGTTGAAAAAGTGATTACATTTAAAGACGTCAAGACAGAATACGACGATGCACTGACATTAAGAGAAGGGGTTTTACATCTGGCAAAGACTGATATGAGGACGTCCATGCAGATAGCTTGCAGAAAAACGGCAGACATATTTAAGTATTCTCAAAATAGTTCGAAATTATCTGGACAACCAGTCTGTACTTTAGAAGAAGGAAAAACAGAAGTAGGCAAAGTGAAAGACAAATATCTCAAAAAAACTAACGATCTCGAAACAAGGGAGGCAATAACGAATTTTGAGGCGGCTGTGCAAGCAAATCTTGATGCTCTCTTAGATACTATCAACAAGTCAAATCAGGGTGATGGGCATAAGTGGACTAAATTAAAAGCTGTGTCATCTTCAATCGTTCGAGAAACTCCAAATGTTTCACAACTCGTGGTCCATAGTCAAACAGTTTGTCCATTGCCAAAACTGTCTTCAACTCATAGTGCATCCGACAAGTTGGCTGCTTTAGCTCAGAAGATCTCAGCCGAGCAGCACACGTCAAATTCCGAATCCATTAGCGGTAAAAATTTGATCGGAGCAGCGTCATCCTTGAGTAGCAGCTTGACTAGGATGATACAAAGTACATTAGATAGATCAACATCTAGCAGTGTTTTAGCAGACTTTGCTGATGGTAAAGACGGTAATGCTGGTGTTGAATGAAGTGCGTCAAGTTCTGACGCCGAATTTACCCGTTGATACCTATTTCGAACTAAATTTGTATATATATATATATTTATTATAGCAAACTGCATGACACAGCTTCCAGGGCAGATATATGCTTATATGATTGTGTGTATGTTTCACCATTAAATAGGTATCTGAACAAGCAACTATATCTATCTAGTAATTCGAGTACAGTATAGTATTCTATTTATTAGAAACACGCTCTGAGAGATATGTCATCTTATAACAGAAATTTCAATAGTTGATAGGTATTATTGAAGCATTACGGAGCCCCTAAGGCGCAATTGTAAACATATTTATTTATTATTTCGTTTAAACGAAATAATTAATTCGTTTAAACGAAATAACATTTATTTCATTTATTACGTTTAAACGAAATAATTATTTCGATTAAACGAAATAATAAATAAATATGTTTACAATTGCGCCTTAGGGGCTCCGTAAAGCATAATATTAACTTGACATTAAAGTTTACATATTTTCTGCTTTACTTTTGTGGATATTCGCTTATATAATTGTTGACTTGATGTTTTCCATTTTTAATTTTTGTTATAAATGTTCCGTACTTCCTGATTTCGTCATTTCCGTGGCAATTATTTATTTTAAGATCCATTGCAATCAATACCCTGAAGATTTTTAATTAAGTTACTCTACAACAAGAACACACCATGCACTATTTATCAACTATTTATTCGTGCTTTATCATATATTTATTATTTCCCTTGAATTGCAATGATATTAAATTTTGTTGAATATTATTATTTTGTTTTTGGGATTCTCAATAAGAATGAATAGACATGCCGTTAAAACTCAAAAGTGGTACAACTGGCATTGAGTTATACCAATTTGTAAATGAAATATTAGGCAACGTATTTATTAAGGCACTACAGAATTTTACTGATATTAAGTTATGAGAAAACGATCATTGACTAGTGCTCTCTGTTCCTTTGTCAGTTTTTCCAGTGTTGATCTCCACAAGTTCTCAACTGCTGTTGTCTGCCAGGCGTTCACAGCAATATATGGACACGGTGTTTTAGCCGCATAACACTTTATTCCGTGATTCATGTTTAACGTCAAAAAGCCACGTATGTTCTCATGGACTACATGACCTATTTTTGACGGCAAGAGTCCATACAGGTACACGTCATCCACCCAAAAGAATGGCGTAAATGATGATGCTCGGTACATTGGTGAAATTATCTCAGGGGAAATAATAACGAAGTATCCATTACAATAAGACACAGGGTAGCTTTTATACCCTTTGAATTGATCGTTCTCCACATGCCATTTGTACTTTTTTCCGCGCATGATGCCACTAGTTCCCTTAGATCGCAGATGACACAACATAAACCGCTTTTTATTCGCGTATTTTGGAATGATATCTTGTACTATCGAAAATGGATTTAAAAACATATCATCGTCTATTTTTACAACAAGTTTGGAATGATTACAATATTCAGACACCCAACGGAATGCCAGGACACCTTTATGAGTAAGATTGTGATAGGTGTCTAGAAAATCACCTTGAACGATGTCTCCGTGAATTGTTTGTTCGTTTTCCAGCAAGGTTTGTACCGTTATATCCGGCGATAATCCAAATACGAACACAATCCGACTAGTTACATTTTTAAACAAATCCTTGTTGGCGAATGTTTCGCGGATGAGCCTTCTACGATCAAAATGGTCCGTCGCTGTATGAACGATAGTAATAAATGCAAGATTTTTAACGTTTTTGCAAACATCCGGACTATTGATGACGTAAGGACTATTTATAGTTAACGGATATGACGTTTTCCTATCTTTTGGCAATGTCTTCTTCTCAGCATCTGCTTTAGCATCTTTGACGCTTAAAGCTAATATGTGGGATTTGGATAATGGGACAGATCCACTTGGAATATTTAAAGTTAGTTCCACGCTTCCATCTGCAAGTTGTCGAGCATGTTTATAAATGGCATCAACTCTGAGATTCCCAAAACTGATATCCACGTGGCTCTGGACATTCAATGTGAAGATGGAGTACGCGAGTAAAAATATGGCTGCTAACAGACTACCGATAATCACTTGCTGTGGCCTAGTGAATGCTGTTGTTATGGTAACCATGATGTTCGCCCTGTGACTTTATCTGAAAAAAGCAAAGACCTGTTTACATACATTTCCACATAGGTTACATGTATATTCTAAATGGAATTCGCCATTTTGAAATGGTTTAAGGTGGATTTAATTCCACTGCTGTACAGCTCATGCAGATCCATAGTTTTTCATTTTTAGGGTTTGCATTTAGCTAAAGATACAATTTGCAAGCTGAAAGTGATTTAAGTCATTGGCGGAATTAAGCTTACCTTGGAATTTTAATATTTTAAACCATTTTTATTCTGAAATAACAAATATACAACTATTATGTCATATAACACATTTTTATCGAAGTGAAACATCTTTATATCCAAAACGAAGTTTCAAAAATTCCTTTAGTTACTCCCTTATCCAATTCCAGTCTTGAACTTGGATTGTAATTTGTGTCACTTTTAAAATTGTGTGGATTTCTAATTCTATATACGTGTATAAGTAAGATCGTCGACAATCGCACATGGTACAATAATTGGTCTGACATAGTGTATTTTGATCATGGATTTCGAGTGATGTAACTCACTAAAAAGACATGAAATAAAACCATTTTGCACCATTATAATGACATGTAATATATGATTAATTAATGTGATAAAACTAACTCTTGATGTTTTATATAGAAATATGACATCTATCCAATATATTCAATATGCATCATGAATAATATAATACCTTATACATAAATACAGGAGAAGTATAACATTACTAGTGTCATAAATCTCATAAAAATAGAGAACAATATGTTTGAAATTGTAATACAAAATATCTAAGAACAGTTGTACAAAATTCCAGAAAGTTTTAAGTCACGTTACCTCTTGCGCTACACGAAAGATTCCACATTAGCACTTAAAAACGAATTTTGAACCATTTTGCAAAGGGACATAACATTAAAATATTCCTAACACAATCTAAGAAGATTTTGCAACAAAATGACAGCATTGTTAACACAAAAATATTAAAAATATATGAATAAGCCAGAAAACAAACCGAAGAAATGATGACAGCACATTTTTCTCAAGTCGACATGAAAACGTGCACTAGGAAAAGCAAATTCATTTTGGCACTGTCTGGACAACAAAGTCTAATACAAAAGGGATTAAAAGTACTGGTAAACTTGACTACTTGGAAAATTCTTTGCTGGACTCAGAGGGTACAATGTTGTCTGACTACCGACCTTAAGGTGTAGGACACAGAGGTTGTGAAATGCTCACATTTAAGGGCAATAACTGCTCATATACCTGTATATTCAAGTGATTATTGTAAACGGTGATTTTTATATTCGTTAGGATTTTATACATTGTTAATTATTCCTTGGTACTTACAATCGTTTTTTATTTTACTAAATTTAAAATATTATTCAGCTGAACATAGCTCAAGTTTATGGAAAATACTTTTCAGATATGCTTATTCTCAAAATAGCAGACAAAAATTCATTTATGGACTGCTTATTATTGTTTTGCAAATGACTATTTCTTTTCCGATTCTGGTCAGAGCGCCCAGCCAAAACTGCATATGTCACACATTAACTGACATCATTATCTGTCATAAAGAGCGTGTCGTTGTTGTTTAAATGTAAAATGACGCATTTTTGCCCAACCGGAAATGACGTAGGACGTAGCCACTCATATAACGTCCTTGTATTACTGCTCCAATTCTGAATCCATTTTTGTCCGTGGCACGGCTCTAGTTTATATTGAAATGGAACGGAGTTTTACATTCTACTTTTCTAGACTTTGTCTGGTAAATGAACACCAGCTACATCATGTTGTGTGCATTGAGAAAAATATGAAAATTTCAATGTTAATTTGCAGACATATATTGCGTATTAATGTAGGACACGAACATGGACGTGCGATTCCAAGAATTCAAACTTAATAAGCTTAATAAGAAATAAGTCTTAAAAGTACAGGAACTTTTTAAATGATTTAACCTCTTTGGTTAGATGAAATGATTTTAATCGTAAGCCCACTACCACAAACCCCATGTAAATCATTTGATATTATCTATTATTGTGTAAATGAAAAGGGACGTAGAAATTAAAAGATAGCTTGCTAGGAAAGATAACATACACCCACTGGCAGCTACCAGAAATGATATCACAGTCGCTAATTACTTGACCAAGATCTAACACGGACACTAAGTTTCATCAAGATCAGATAAAAACTTTAGCCACTATTGTGTGTACAAGTAAAATTTGGCGTATTTTACTAAATCAAGGACAATAACACATAAACTGTTCATCCAAAATGAGCCAAACGAAGATCAAAAAAAATGTGAACGGACGGACATGAGAGACGCCAACATCGATCCACACTTCATGTGATCGTATAAAAATCACAAAGACACTTGGATACTGGACGACTTTGCTAAATATAATCGGTATGCTGATGAGTTAAATTTATTGGTGATGGTGGTTCTCGACTTGTCCTATTGTAATCTGCTCTGATCGCAGTTGTTGGTAGTCCGTTTATTCCGGTTATATGTGTTAGAATCACCAATTTACAATGAAATGACATCACAGTGACTATAGTTTACTTTAAAATTGTTTTGAAAGTAAATAATCATCATTGACATTGGTACTTTGAATATAGTTTTCAAGACATTTACCTCATAAGTTGGTGGCTTGTAAGTATTGGAATGAAATCCAAGATATGTTTCATAAAGTCTCATCTGATTGTAAATGGTAAAGAAAGTTACATAAGCAATATTAATTCCAGTTCATGTCATTGTATTATCTATCCAGAGATCGGATTTTTCTATTTCAAAAGTGATACGGATAGTGAATCTTTACTATGTTAATGGAGGCGTTCGGCTGTACAGATATTTTACAACAAATACATGTTAAGCTTATAATGACGTCGTCCTATGGTAACGCCATGAACATATTTATCAAATTAATGCCAATGATCATGTACATTATTTTTTGTGTGACCAGTTAGTGTGCATTAAAGGGACATACTCCTTTAAATTATATGCAATACCTATGCATAAGACACGTGACTTGTTATAGAAGACAACCAGATTTCAAACGCCAGAGAATGAAGTGAAACAAAAACTCATAACAAAACAAAAGCTTTTAATTGGAAACATCAGCTTAAACTTTTAGGTCCCATTTTAGCACGTATTGATGTAATTCTAGCCTGTCTTTTCCCCCAGGGAGTAAGTCTATTTAAGGTAAGAGCCCAATATTTTTCCATAGTTTCCAACTGCCAGGCAATGGCACCAATATAAGTTAACGGCTCACTTCCGGCATATTGTTTTAAAGCCAGGTTCTTATTCAATGTTAGATTCTGACGAATGTCTATGTAATTCATAAATTGATCCTTGTTTGGCAGGAGTCCAAACATGTACACGTCATCAACTGGAATTATAGGAGATTGAAAAGAAGATCTATATAATAATGGAATAAGGTCACTTGTAAATATGGCGACATATCCGGAACAAAAGCGCGGGAAGTGTTTTACCCCTTTAAAAACGCCATTTGGAATGTACCATTGACTTTTAGGATTTCTTACTATGACACTCTGACCAGCCTTGTGAAAATGACACATTACAGTTTGCTTTCGTTGTGACAAAACCGGAAAGAGATCTTCAATAATTTTGAATACATTGATGAAAATATCATCATCAGCTTTGATGACGTAGCGAGTCTGCATACAATGTGTATTAATCCACTGAATGGCAAGAGCTGATTTTAAAGTTAAATTTTTAAAAGTATCATTAAAATCTCCTTGAACAATATCACGATAAACAACATTTTCAAAATCAATCGTCAACTGATGTTTGGCATCTTTTGGACTGCCAAGAATAAATATGGTTTTAATAGATATGTTGTGAAATGTTTTTACACTGGCCCACGTTTCACGAAGGAATCTTCGCTTACCCCTATTATTCCAGGCACTATGGAAATATATTAATATATCGACCGGTTCGTTACCACAAAGCCCAGAGTTCGTTATAACGTAATCAAACACAGCTGGGTGATCTTTATTTTCCGATCTATAAGGTTCCACGAAAGATCGGTTATCAAACCATTCTCGAAAATGTTCCTTTAATTCCACAACGGGGGATTTCGTGGTTGTTGCAAAGAGTCGCGACGCAGATGCGTTTCCATACCGACTGATATTAGCAAAACTTCCCCGGATGGAATCAGGTAAGTAATCTGGTAATTTAGCCAACATATTTTGGTGAATTTTGTTCCAATGATGTGTTGTCCCTTCATTTAATGAAAGAATTGAGAGCAAGCTAAATATCAATATCATTAAAAGAATAATTCTTTCCATTTTTTTCAAACATGTCCAAAATCTCCAATGCATTTCGGAAGAAGGGATTTATATATTGCACTTAGAACTTGTAAACTATTACATAATCATATCACAGTTTTTTTTATCCAATCAAATTATTTTCTGTGTATTTTCTTCCGTAACATTTTTTTAAATCTACTATCGGAAACATTGATTCTTAAAGGTATCGGATAATTCGCAATCGAGGCGAATTTCACAACACTAACACAACACAGACTTTACACCGTACTTTGATAATAAACCATTGCTTTTTCACCAATCAGCTTGCTTTCTCCTGGAATTACAAAACACAAATAAGATTTCAATAAGAGGGTTTAATTCCAGAAGAAAACAGCCTGAATGGAAACAAATTTCACGCATTGCTTGGGTTGAGTAAGTAGAAATGATCGAAATTACAGAAAATTTTCAGATGAAAATTAATGATCAAAATGAAAGGACGCAAATGAAAACATTTCGACATCAACTTTTATCAATATGACCTTAAAATGTTTTATCTAAAGTACCAATCAATTTAAATAGGTCAAATAATCAGGTTGCTTATTTTAAAGTGGACCGGAACAAGGTGGGTTTGTATAACAAACCACCAAACTTGATGAGAATTTAAATTAGATTTGTAAGTTGGAGTTCGAAATATTCTTACTCATATAATTGCTAGCCTACCAACCTGCGAGATGCGAAGGAACTTTAGTGATTTGATTCCCTATTTTCTGGAACTGCGGCGTTTATATAAATTTTTTTTTTAAATTTCTAACATTACGAAAATCAGAGGAAAGTGTACCGAACTCAAGGCTTCATATTTTGGGAAATACGGCTCATATTGCGATAAATTCCAAAGAGTGGATGCAATTGTTGTCTTTGATGGTCGGTCAGGCGACCCCGTGACAATAAGGACGGAGATAAGAATAAACGGCACCCAATCTTCATTCAGACAACAATTCAACTGCCATATACCCCTCCTTGTTGTTTGAACTGTCCCTCGATAAGTAGGTAGAGTAATTGATTCTGTGTTTTCGATTTTAACGATTTTCAAAGTAGATATATAACAAAATGGAATATTCATTTTCAAAATTATAAATAAGTAAATAAAGTACATTGTATTTTGAATAGGTCAATTGCATCTGAATAATGAATACTGAACTCTCTTAAGATCTATATATTTAGAATCATTGGAGTTTTTAAACATTTATTTTATTTAATCGGTAAATCGAATTTCATCTTGAAATAATGAAAAACGGTATAATGTGGTGTCTAATATTATGTTTCTGTATATTCATAGACAACTCTTCAAAGTAACAAAGGGCCTACTAGGCAGTTTTAGTGCAAAATATGTACATGTATTTCATAATTGATACCAGTAGTGATTAGATACGAAATTAATCGCTTGCACTTCACATAAACATATCATATATTTAAAGATCCTATCCGATTCTCTGATCCGTGTACTTTGCAGAACGTCTACCACTCATTACCAAAATATGTGAAATTTACATTGTTAACTACTGAAGCAGTGAAAATTCCTTCTCGAATAAGCTATCACATGTCTGATATATGATACATATCTGATATATGATGCATAGCTGCTTTATGATACATATAATCTGATATATGATACATGACAAGAAAGTTAATTCTGTTAATCAAAATCTTGTACATAGAATCGAGTAAAAGTATAGTAGTGGTCTCCTGCGAAGAGAAGTACCAACAGGTGTTTCGAAAAGAGTAAGCATAGTCTATTGTGAAAAATTTTATTGAGTCATTTTGTCCACGCGAAATTCGAACATTTTTTTTAAAAAATGCACACATCACGCAATCCTTGAATATGATACGATAAAAACATAACTGATATTATTCCTACTCTTTGTTATAAAAGCAGTAATAATATCAAATATAATGAAATAGCATTATCTTGATACATTTGTTCATGCAAACAAATCAAGACCTGCAGTTATCTGAAAGACGCATTGAACTCATCGCTCAAGTTTGATTCACTAAAAGAGTAAAAGAGATTACTCTTAGTCGACATTTCATTGTTATGACCATAAGGTGAGAATTATTGTAAGAAGGTCTTTTATATACAAACTATGTCTGACCCATATACAATGGATAACTGAATCTTTATCAACTAATATATTGATAGAGTACAGGTGAAGCGATGTGTAAACATAGGGCTGAATTTGATTATTTGATTTCTATGGTCAAATAAAAAGGCGTCATTATCAAATTTCAGAGAAATTACATCGAAACGCGGACCTATGAGAGAGCCCAAAATCAGATAGAATAATATGTATGTAATCATGTTTTCTTTTTATCTTTTACTTGAATATTTTCAGAATATTCAATTATACAGTTTTTAAGGGACATTCCGCTTTTCTTAAAAGCCAAAATTATTTAAAAGCATTACGTAAGGTATTTAAGTTCGTTATGCTTTTGGAATCCTGTACGATTTTAAAAGTAAATTCCACCAGAGTAGTGCTATCTTCACAATATCAAGCTATTACGAACTATCCTATACCTTGACTGCGTTAGCCATTATTCTTGTAAATGAAGCGATTTTGTTTTATTGAACGCTAGTAATTACGGTCAATGAGAGCTTTCGACAGAAAATAGCAGTCGAGGTATAAAATGAAGTTTTTGATGGCTTAAAGGGACAGTTGCGCCATTTTTTTTGACCAATCGAACCTTAAGTTTAAAAAAAACGGGATTTTTTAGCTAAGGCAATCAATGATAACGTTCATAGCTCTCCGTCGAAATTTGAGCCTTCAAATCCATGTTTGTCCAGAATTATTCGCGTATGAATGTTAAAATGACGACTCGTCATATGTAGAAAAGACATGTATCGAAATAGTGAGTAAAATTCCTAGTTTTAGGTATTTTTTAAGGGATTATTCGATATTCTAACATTTCTGGTACTTCTGAAGACTATTTACATATATTCAAACTAAAAAAAACTACCAATATGGCTCACCTGTTCCTTTAACATCGTGAAGATGTAGGCCTACTATCGTATGAAATCAGAATAAGAAGAGGTGTGAAGGTGAGAAAAAACAACATATTGCAAATGATTGAAAAAATCGATCTTATAGTTGAACTTTAAAACTGCATTGGAGAGAAAATATTAATCATACAATGGTTATATAGGAATTTTCCAATAGTTTACATAAATCATTATCTTAACTAAATGATTTATAGCAAAGTTCGCAAGTTAACTTAATGATAACGGGAATCCGTTTTCTATTACAACTAAGTTCCTTGATTACAACACATCGTTTTCATAAAATCTGTTCAATTTGCTCGCTTTCATTGTTCAGATTCCAATTTCAAACCATATGTTCAGATAATGACTTTTATATAGGAAACTTAGTTACAGATTCCATTCTACTTGATCACTTATTAGAATGAAATTCGGCTTTGAGTTTCTTATCAATATAAAACGATTTGGTATAAACTACTGAAGTAAAATTAAAGTTAAATGACGTCATACGAATTTTATCACGAATCTGTTCTTATCCGTCAGTTGATGGATGGAAATAGTGTGAAACTGTCATCAACTGTTAATTTCAAATCTAAAATTAATTGTAGACAAACTAGACGTAGACTTTTCATTCCAAATGGTGGTACGAGAAAATAAACCAAATTTTAAATTGGACATTGAGTAAATTACAAATTATCGATAATTATCGTACATTTATACACGTAGAATTTCAAAAAGTAAAAAGTTACCGAACTACTATTAAAATTATTATTTTTGAATAGGAATACGAACCAAAATAATATTCTTACCTTAAAGTTATAAAGAAAGCTAAAAAAAAAGTCCACAGTAGAAGGGGAAGTCTACAAGAAATCAAAATATCAGTAACCGCTACTATAATGGACGGCACATGGTTTATCACATGACATATACTTTGATCTATATTATCATATACTCAAATCACTTACTATTACAGATCTAGCTAGATCTCAACTGCCGTCAATCATCGTGACCTCATATAATGATAAGATACCTGAATTGTCCGAGTAAACGTTGCGAATTGGAACACGCCCATAAACAAATACATGTTAACAATAACTATGGACTGTTGTATAGGAAGTATTTTGAGGGATATATGTGGAGCTTAATCACAAATCCTACTCTTTTGGATTGCTCAGAAGGTGCAAGTAACCAGTGAAGTGCAATTAACAGTATATCTGGGAATAATCCACCTCATTACACAAAGTGTCTGTCCTAATGAGACTACGATTTGAACATACAATGGAAATCGCTTAAATGTTAATTCGATTCCATTCAACCAAAGATCAATGAAATTTTAACGAATGTTATGCTGCATAGAATCTTATAATACGATTAGTTTATACAAAAGTCTTTTAAATAGAATTTTATTGTTAGCATTTCTTGTCTTTACATGTATTAATATGTTTGGCATACTAATATATAGGAAAATTACCAGTGAATTGCGATTAAAAATAGTAATATGAGTAGTATCTGGTAGTATTAGCCAGTAGTGACAGTAGTGAATGATTTAGTTGATATATAAAGTCATAAAGTATATAAAGTCCACAACACCCAACCCCATTTTGTCTGATAAGATAAAGCGGACACTCCTACTATACTTGACTGTGGAATTTCTTTACTACACGTCTCATACGAATAAAAGATTAGCTGAACTAGTAGTAGGACGTTC